TTTTTTTACACCAGGCAAAAAATGCATTTAAACCAGCTGAAGTTAAGTTTAGAGCACAGTTTGAAATGTACAACGAAGGAAAACTGCATCACGACTTTTATACTGCRGTCAGAGCTAACGTAATCTGAGCAGCCAGCGTCYGTCTGCTGCACGGCGGCAGCTCTAACGTAACAGCGAGACATGACCGAGAGCTTTTYATTTTAATTCAGAAGGGAGAACAATACAGGTGTTCTTCTATGCCTCCTGTGAGSAGTTCCAGCATTTTTAAACGAAAAACAATGTGGACACGCTAATTACAGTGCGATTTCAAACCGAAAGTAAAAACATGGCGCTCGCTGCGCTCCCGTTCGAAGTGAAACTTAAACACACAGCTGTTCTCTCTACCACTCACAGTCTGACACAGAGGGCAGAAACAGCTAAATTAGACAATTAAAACACATTAAAAGTTCATAACTCACCCCTATTGTTGTTGGCACTCTGTGGAGATTGTGTGCCGAGGCTGTCACTGTTAACAGTGAACACCAGAGGGCGCAATTAACAGCTTTCTTTGAGGCACCSAAATTAGAGTTGTGTTTCGGTTTGAGTACTACYGWTGATCTTCGCCCCAGTGCCATACTGGAACCGAGTTTCGGTACCCAACCCTAGGTGGCACGCAGTGGAAATTTATTGTTTGTATCGCAAGATGACAAATAATTACCGTGGTGAATGTCTTTGATGGTATATCRCACACAATAACATATCGCCCATCCCTAGTGAATGGKTGAATGTCTGTAAGTGTAAAGCGCTTTGGGGTCCGGAGGGACTTGATAAAGCGCWSTMYAAGTTCAGTCCATTTATCATATGAACAGTATTTTGACGTATTTAATGACACAAGGTGAAAAAAGTAACATCAGATCATAATTTCTCTAAATTATACAACATATAAAAAAATCAAGCTGTGCACCTGCAGCTCCTGTACAGGGCTGTGGTTCTGTGCAGAAGCCCAACAGGCTGCAGGTAATTGTGGGTTCAGGAACTGGAACTCTCTGGAGAATAGATCTTGATGAGATGTTGCAGTTCGGAGGGAAACCCAGTGAGYGGGCAGCGGCGGTTCGCCTTCACGTACGTGTAGATGCAGCGGTAACAGAAGACRAAGCCGGACGTGGACAACGCCGTGGCGTTCGTACGCAGCCTCCGACACAGAGGGCAGCTCCTGCAGTCGGCRCCCAGCTGAGCGTCCTCCTGCAGGTGGAGCGGGGGTGGGGGCGCCGGCATGGAGGTGAGGGTCTTCACCGCGCTCTCGTTTTCTGAGGAGTACCACCACTCCAGAAACTGCAGGAAGAAGACGCCCAGAGACAGTGAGGTGGACAGGGACACGGCCACGCCCCCCGCCGCCTGTGACAGCAGCCGCCAGGCTCTCTGTGGCAGACTGTAGACAAAACAACACATCAGCAGTGAGTCATACATTGACTGATCAGCAGCACACACACAAACGTGTGTGTGTGTGTGTGTGTGTGTGTGTGTGTGTGTGTGTGTGTGTGTGTGTGTGT